GAAGAACGACTCAGTGTGAAAAACTGGTCCCAGGGAAGTGGTCGAGAGGTCGGAAGCCAGTGTATCGAAAAAATCGAGACGCCGGATGTCTGGGTCAGGCTTGTCAGGGAGGAGAGGGTGTCACCATCCGAGCGAGATCACGTCCAAGATTGGGAATCGTAATAAGGGTCTGAAGGCACAAAGACAGGAAGCACATCTTGAGATAACACAAGGGGGACAGTCCTGGATCGATACATTGGCCCTGCAAAACCATGAACAACCTGCGTGCGTACAGTGTCATCAGGTCCCTTGCATAAAGGAGCAAGAAACAGCATGAAGATAGACTGTTGGAGATCCACGCGGATTTCATGGATCGGCGATTGACACCCCTCCCTGGCGCGCGAAGCGCGCCGCAGTTGCCGCCAGGAGGTCCCTGGTGCCGATCCAAGAGATCCGTGCGGAGCTCCTAAAACGTATGTTTGTGGCGTTTCTTCTTCTTCGATCGCAGTCTTAGCTCTCAGCCCTCAGGATTGAATATTAAGTTCTTGGCGAACCTCCCGCGCTTACCAAGCCTTCCCGCATATCTTTCTCGAAGCCGAGAGCGTCCCAAAACGAGCCAGGAGGGCCCCGAGACAAGCACGGTGGCGGTGGGTCGAAGGCCAATAGCTCCGCCGACCCCTGCGCACAGCGCACCAAAGTTTACGTATTTCTTGGTCCTTGTGCAGAAATCCCACTGGGCCTTCGGCCGATTCCGCCCGCCGCCCACGAGGACCCGTAAACTTCCCAATGCATCGGTCTCCCCGCTCCAGGCGGCCCCAAAATGGCCTCCAAAGCACCCCATGACGACCCGTAAATTTCCCAAGTCGTCGGTCGTCCCGCTCACAAGCGGCCGAAGATGGCTGGAGATGGCCTCCAAGATGCCTCCAAGACGTTCAAGATGGCCCCAAGAGAGCCCAAGATGGCCGCAAGATGTCTGCAAGACGGCCAAGACGCACCCAAGATGGCTCAATATGGCCCCAAGGTAGCCCCAAGATGGCCCGAGAGGTCTTCAAGAGGCCTCTGAGAGAGCCTCCAGGAAAGCCCGAAGAGATTTCTGCTTTGGAGGGTGAAAGTGGGGGTCGGGCGCAGGGTCCTGGCAATGGTTTCTTTATGGGCCATGAATGGGCGATGCATCCTCGATTGCTGTGTTCGGCGGGGGAACCAGTTGAAGCTCCCCGCCCGCGCCCATGCGCGAGACTTGAAGGGAAACGAAGCAAGGGGGCGGGGGGCTCGGGAAAGGCGACGAAGGCAACGTGCGCTGAGGGCGCAAAAACAAAAGGTTTAAAATAAACGAACGCGGTGAGGTGAGTTTCAAAATCTGCCCAGTCAACCAGACATGCGGAACACTGCGCCTCAGTTTTGGGGATCTTGAAGGCCAGGGCAACATGTGAATTCACATTGTGGCGGAAAGCAAAGTGTGAATTCACATGTTCGGAAAAAGGAAAATGTGAATTCACATTTTGGGAAGCAGGACAATGTGAATTCACTGTTTGGAATTTTGTGTAGGAATCTTTACGAAGGTGCCAGAATGTGAATTCAAAGTTTGGGAAAAAGGAAAATCTGAATTCACAGGTTGCAAAGAAGGAACATGTGAATTCACATTTTGGGAGAATCGCGGGACCCATTTCAAATCTGTCTTGGGGGTCGATAAGTCATCATGTGGGAACATACGCGATCATCAATCGCACAATCAAGACACACTTGCACTCCATTCCGCCGCCCCACGCGCAATATGCAAGAACGCCCGCACGCATGAATGATAATGGATGGACGGCGCGTGTGCCCGCGCGGGCAACGCGCGGGCACGAACGACTGGCCCTCGATGACCGCCAACATTGGATGCCAATCGTACTCGATCGCATACATGAGCGATACGTTGAGCATACATGGGCCATTCAGCCCCCATTGAAGACCCCTTGTTGCAGACCCCCTCTTTCACCCTCAGTCTGCTCCTCTTCTTTCTTCCCCACGTGCTCCCCGAAGAGTCTCCACAGAGACGGGGGGAGCACATGATCCGATAGCGCCACATCGGCGCTTCCAAAAGGCAGAGGGCGGCCGTGATCCGCCGCAGACGTTTGCGATCTGGCGCCCCCTGTGGCTTGCTACAGAGATGCACGGCATGCCAGATGTTCAAGTGATGTCGGTCCTTTTTTGAAAGCTTCCCTGTGGAGTCGGCGCCGATCGCGCCAGCCACCTGGAAGGACCCGGAAGGGCTCCAGGGCGGAAAAAAACTGGAAAATCGCCCCCAAGACGGCCAAGATGGCCCCCAAGATGGCCTCTGAGATGGCCTCCAAGACGGCCAAGACGGCCCCAAAGACCCCCCAAAAAGAACCCGTTGCTGCCCAGGGATGGCCCCAAGACGGCCTCCGAAGGCCAAGAGGTCCCTGAGAGGCCCCTAGAAGCCCCCAAGAGCCTCCCAAGAGGACCCAGGAGGCCCCGAAGTGGCCCCATCAGACGGGCCCCCAGGGGCTCACAGGAAGCCCCGGGGAGGCCCCAAGAGGGCCTCGAGAGGCCTCCTCTTCCTCCTCCTCCTCCTTTTCCTCCTCCTCCTTTCCTACTCTCCTCCTCCTCCTCCTCCTCCTTCCTCCTCCTCCTCCTCATCCACATCATCATCATCATCATCATCATCATCATAATCATCATTCATCATCATCATCATCAATCATCATCATCATCATCATCATCATCATCATCATCATCATCATCATCATCATCATCATCATCATCATCATCATTCATCATCATATCATCATCATTATCATCAGCATCATCATCATCAGCATCATCGTCATCATCATCATCATCAGCCAGCAGCATCAGCATCATCATCATCAGCATCATCATCATCAGCATCATCATCAGCATCATCATCATAATCATCATCAACATCATCATCATCGTCGTCATCGTCGTCATCGTCATCATCATCATCATCACCACCACCACCACCACCACCACAACCACCACCATCATCATCATCATCATCATCATCATCACCACCACCACAACCACCACCACGACCACCACCACCACCACCATCATCATCATCATCAGCAGCATCAGCATCAGCATCAGCATCAGCATCATCATCATAAGCAGCAGCATCATCATCATCAACATCATCGTCATCATCATACTCATCCTCATCCTCATCATCAGCAGCATCATCCGCATCATCAGCAGCATCGTCATCATCATCATCATCAGCATCATCAGCAGCATTGTCAGCATCATCATCAACATCATCCTCATCCTCATCATCATCAGCATCATCTTCATCATCATCATCATCATCGTCATCATCATCAGCAGCATCATCATCAGCAGCATCATCATCATAATCATCATCATCATCAACATCATCATCAGCAGCATCATCATCAGCATCATCACTGTCATCCTCATCATCATCGTCGTCATCATCATCAGCATCATCAGCATCATTGTTTGTTCTTTCCAGCCTCAGGCAGAGTTGAACATGTTTAACGCAGGACCTTCTTCTGGGCCACTTGACGCTTGGCAAGCCTTGAGGATCCAGGCGGCAGGCCTTGCTGCACTCTCCTCAACTGCCGCTTGCCATAAACATTCAAAATCCATGAGCATTCTTTGCTCAAATTCCTGACCGCTTGGGTGGCTACACAGCCACAGGCAAGACAGACAGTGCTCCCGAACTCCTTGTGATAAGCCAAGGTATGGGAGCTATGCAAATCAATGCCGTTGACTGTGCTCTTGGTGGGCACCATGATCAGACCCCTGAACAGGCCCTGGTGGCATGGGGTGTCTAAAAACTTGGATGCCATTCTCCATGGCGAACTGCCTCCACAGATGTGACACCTGACCTGGGAACCTATCCCCCAAACTGGCTCGTGCGCAGTGAGCATCATCAGCATCATCAGCATCATCAGCAGCAGCATCATCATCAGCATCATCATCAGCAGCATCATCAGCATCATCAGCAGCATCATCAGCATCGTCATCATCAGCAGCATCATCATCATCCGAATCATCAGTACCATCATCAGTATCAGCATCAGCATCATCATCATCATCATCATCATCATCATCATCATCATCATCATCATCATCATCGTCATCATAAGAACAATCATAAGCATCATCGTCATCATCATCATCATCATCATCATCATCATCATCATCATCATCATCCGTCCTCCTCCTCCTCCTCCTCTTCGTCCTTGTCCTCCTCCTCCCTCTCCTCCTCCTCCTTTCTTCCTCTCCCAAATGTTCCCAAAAGAGGGTCCACAACGGCTGGTGAAACAAGTAGTCCAATAGAATGGCCTGGCTTCGGCCCAACGTTTGGCTACATGGGCGGTTCCAAAAGGCAGGTTGCGGCGGTGATTCGCCGTAGGCGTCTTCGATGTATGGTTGGCAGGTGGTCTTGCCTGGTTGCTGGCAGGCTTGCTGCGCGCGCCCGTACTAATCTATGAGGGCGTGGCCTCGCGGGCGCGCGTCCTTTGCAGCTTACGAAAGTTAACTACCTGAGGAGCGCGCATCCTTCGTTGTTCCCCATGTTCTGAGGTGGGCTTGTTGGAACCCTGGTACCAGCATTCGTTCCCCTTCGTTGTTCCCTCGCTGTTCCTTCGATGTTCCCCTTCGTTGTTTCCCTTCGTTGTCCCCCGTCGGTACTAGCACGCATCCTTCGTTGTTCCCCTTCGCTGTCGCCCTGGAGCGCTGGTACCAGCGCGCCCGGCCCGACTGGAGCAGGCTGGCGCCGTGACCCCCCTTTTTGCGAACGCCTTCTGTGGCAACTCAAGGGAGCCTCCTACACCGCCTTGCTGGCTCTTGCAAATCGACGCTCATCGACGCTAAATCGACACGACTTGACGCTAATCGAGGCTAATCGACGCTAAACCGGCGCGCTCTCATCAATGAGAAGACGCTTAACGACGCTAGCGCACTCTCAAGACAGAATTACGAGGATGTACAATGATCCCATGATTTGCTACCGAACGCCCCCGTCGCCTTGCCGATGTTGACGTCGAGGTGGTGGTAATTGAGGCCCAGGGCCTCGAAGAGCGCGGGCAGCTGCGCCGTCAGCGGCGTCCCGGCCTCGATCGGGATGCCGCTTGGGGACCTGGCAGGCAACCACATGCGACCCCTACTCAGGATTTCGGAACAAAAGGGGTGGAGTTCGCAGACCTCCCAGACGAGTCATTTCAGAACCCCCCAGACCAGCCATGAGAGGGCAGCCTCTTGCCCAGACCCCAGGGAACCCTCCGAGACAGCTCAGATCAGACCCCCTCCCGAATCAGACCCCCCCCCTGTTCGACATCCTGAATCCCAGTTTGTTCCTCTTGGTAATATCAAAACTCTGGAACGCCAAATAAGGCACGTGCACGAAACGCGGGCGTGTGGGGCCGCTGGGCGTGCGTAAGAACTGCACATTGGCATCCTGCATGCTAATGCTTTTGAGCATGCCTAAACGAGTGTAGAGTGGTTGTTTGAGGGTGTACTATGGTCACCTGGGGCATGCCTCAACG